TCCTGCTCAACAAGCATCCATTGTTCCTCAGTGCCCACAGTTTTGCCCCATATTCCAGGCCAGGCAGGCTATCTGCTTGTACTCACTTTCGCTCCAGTATCCATGCCTTCATTCACCACTTCCACCCACTTAGGCTGCCGCTGGCTCTCTTGTATCTCCTCCGTCTACTTAAAATTCAAGGCTGAGCATAAATTGATCCTCCCTAAACAATATTTTTGAACATATATTTCAATGAAGAGCACCATGCTAGACCCTCCTTGAATTGGAAAGCATAATGAGGCATGATCCTGAATGCCAGACGCAGAGTGGGGAGCAGAGGGTATCCTCAAATAAGAAGAGGAAGAATAGAAGGTTCCTTTTCTGAAGGTCAAGTTCATGGGGCAGTTGGTAAGTCCTACAGGGACGTTAGATGCACAGAGAGCTCCACTTCATGCAATGCTTCATGATCTTTCTGTATTCTTCCCTAGGCTGCAAATCACCAGCTAGTTCCAAAAGTTTTCGGTCAAACTGACGTTTTTCTGGGAAAGACAGTTGGAGCCAGGAACTGCCCACCCGCAGCCCACGCTGCCAGGCAACCTGGCCAGGCTGGCACCCGAGGCTTCTTTAGAAGGAGTAGGGAACAGCACCGAAGTCTCCTGCCCTCCAGCCCAGGATTCCCAGGCCTGGGGCCCAGAGTCTGGCTTCCTCTGGCCTGCGGCAGGGGGCGGGGCCAGCGGAGGCGGCTCTGCTTCCTCAGCCCTCAGAATATATTAGCCTTGGCCCTGCGACTCCAACTTTGGACCCACGCGCCTGCCCACTGCTGCGATAGGGGTCTGAATCTTTGCAGATGTCGTGAGGGCAGAAGCAGCCTGGATCTAGAGGTGGGGGAAGGCCTGGCTCCTGGAGTCCCCCTGCCCACCTTCCCTAGTGCCCACTCCACCTGAAAGCCAGAGGGCTTTTTCTCAATACCCATTAAAGCTTCATTTGCTCTGAGCACCTCAACACCATCAGAATCCTTCCCCACCCCACACTCCCACCCACCTCACTTCACTTTCCATCCTCAACAGTGAACTATCCCCAGGACCTTGTACAAACTAGACCCTACGCCTGGAACATTGTTCCCACCCTTCTTCACCAAACAAATGGCAATTTTTTTTTTTTTCAGGCTTAGACATCTACTCAGGTGTGGGGCACGGTTACGGTGTTTTGGCCAGGTTCAAACCTCGGACTAATGAAAGGACAGGGTCCTCTCATTGCCACGTGCAAGTCCCAGCTGGAGGGCAGGGCCCTCCCAGCACAATCATAGCCAACGGCTGTGGTTATAAGCTTGAACCTATGGTCCGAACACGTAGCCCCACGTGCCTTGTGATAGAGTTCGGGTGCATGTAGTTGAGTGAGGTTGAAACTCACGAGAATGCTGTAAACAACGTGATCACGCCCCTACTTTGCCTCGTGGCATCTGCTATAAAATAAAGACACAGCTTGTGGGCGCTGGCGCTGTCACCTCATCAGGGAGGCAGTGTCCCACCGAGACCCAGCTTTCATTCTCTTGTCTGTTTTTCCTTAATCCTTTCACACCCCCACTCGGGATCACCCTTGGTCGTGCTGGCGTGGCACACTCAGGAAAGCTTGACTTGACCCCTCCCACCCTGCTATGGGCTCCAGGGCTTGGTCCATAGCTCTCATATTTTTACATCATAGTCACCTGACTGCCTGTCTATTCTTGTCTTTCTTTTCCTTCTTCCTCTCCTTCCCTCCCCCCAAGCCTGTGCTGTGGCTGCAGCATCACCGGTGTCTGGCCCAGGCATGGTGCTGGGTAAGATCATAAACACCTTGCCTGGTGGTCCTGTATACCTCTGCCTGGATTGGGGAGACTCCCGCAGCCACTCCATGTCTTAGAGCAGCAGGTCTCAAACTACAACTGGCAACTGAATCGCCTGGTGGTGGGTGGGGGCGGCACTTATAAAATACAGATGGCTAGGCCTCACCCCCGGAGTTTCTGCTTCAGTAGGTCTGGAGTAGGGCCCGAGTTTGCATTTCTAAGGAGTCCCCAGGTCTGGCTGCTGCTGCCAGCCCAGGAACCAACTTTAAGAATCACTTTTCTCAAGCGTGTCAAACCCACCGGCTGCGAGTTTGACGTGCTTGAGAGCATCAGTTTCCCCATGGCTAGAATAGGATCACTGCTGTTCCTCCCTAGGTTTTGTGAGAATCCAATGAGACAATGCAAATGAAGAACTCAGCATTGTGCCTGGACCCAAGAAAGTGTTTGCAATTGCTAATGGGAGAGGGCAGGAGGCATGCCAAGCAGGGAAAACATGAGCAAGAGCAGAGGCAGGAACGGGCCCAAGCAGGGCAGCGGGGCTGACAGAAGGGCCAAGGCCAAGCACAGAGGCCAGAGAGTCCAAGTTGCACGATGGAAGCAGCTGGGAGCAGGTGGAAGCTGAATGTGGCAACACTGGGCAGGAGGCTGTCACTGGCAGCAAATTCCACATGCTGGGTTCTCCTTGGCTATTTGGCCAGGCACTGGGTTGCCAGGTTTAGCAAATAAAAATAAAGTCTGTCTTTAAATTTGAATTTCAGATAAACAACACATAATTTTAGTATAAGTGCACCCCAAATATTGCATGGGACACACACTAAAAATAAAACACCTTATGTTATTTATCAGAAATTCAAACTTAATGAGGCATCCTTTATTTTTATTTGCTAAATCTGACAACACTAGCCAGGTACCAACTGCTTACCACCCAAACCCCGAGCCTGCATGCTGGAGGGAGAAGGTCCCAGATCCCTCTGCCTCCCTTCCCACCTTCACCAAGGCCATCAGGAGTGGTCCGAGCTGCAGGCCTGGGTGAGAGGGTCCTTTCACCTCATGCTAGGCTCACCCAGCAACTAATCCTTGGGCCTGACTTAACGAAGCACAGAAGACCACCTAGTTCCATAGAGAAGGAAGTGCCACCTACAGTTATGAGTTAATTAAGAAACCAACAGTTGCCAGTAGCAGGGGCCCATCTGGTGAGTGTACTCTGAGAGAGGAGAAAATAGCCTCTATCCGTCACCCCAGAAAGGGGCAAACACAAGCACCCATGGCAGAGTGGGCCCGGCCTCATTCAGTTCACGTGGGCATTATTCTCCCAGAGGCCGCCTCTGTCTCCCCTGCCTCATAATCACCAAATTTCTGATTTATAGTTCCAGAAACAAGCCTGTCAGAAATACAATTTCTGCAACAAACTTTATATCAACTCCCTCCACCCAATCTAAGAAACAATGAAGACAATTTGAGTTCCATCTTTTAAAAAAATGCCATAAACATTATTGAATGCTTAGTGTGTGCCCTGTGCTGTGTTTAGCATTTTATTTGGCCCAGTAGTTCTCAGCCTTGGCTACACATTACAATCACCTGGAGAGGTGTTTGTTTGTTTCTTTTTGTTTTGTTATTGTTTTTTTGTTTATTTGTTTTTTAATTCCAGTACCCCAGACATCGGTATTTGCACTGGACACAGTGATTCCAATGGGCAGTCACTGACTTTGTTCGTTCTGTTTAATCCTCACAATACAATCCTGAAAGGGAGGTTTTATCTCCAGTTTGCAGATGAGAAAACTGAGGCTCGAAGAGGAGTAACTACGCATCTGTAGCCACAACCTCTGACCTCTCCTTCCTCCCTCCCTTCCTAGGCTCACTGCAGGGACTGCCGATGTTTCCAGTATTTCACTGTTATATATAATAGTTACAGCTAACGCTTCCACAGAAAGGTTTGTGGCGTGGCACTGCCCTCTGGCCACTTTGAGATAGCTCCGCTCCCAACAAGGCTCTTCTGAAATACCAGCCTGGGTTCAGGACTGACACCAAATGACTTTTTCTAGAGCAAAGACAACGGAGGTTCCAGCCAGGTCCTGTCCTCTTGGGTCACAGAACCACGGTAGCCAGGTCTCACTCCGCACCGCCCAGCACTTCTAAGTCTGGCTCTTTGCCATTGTGCCCCACCCACACTTCCAAGCCTTTCCTCAGTGCCCGACCCCTTAAACACCAAATTCCCTCACCTCCTGAGCCTTCTGAGCGCATCTTCTTTGCAGGGCCCACATCCTGATAGGCTGTCGGAGAGGTCTTTTGATACAGGACAGACCGCGAACCACAGATCCAAAAGGAAAAAAGCGTTCCCGGGTGGCTCGCGGGCCGACGGATCTTTTCAGAAGTGCGCGCACCTGGGCTCACCTGTCCCAGTGGGTGGGGCTTGCCGGCCTAGAGACGATACTTAGCTGGGCGAGAAGGCTGGTCATCGCCTGCCCTCTGCTGGCCAGTAGCGGTATTGAGCCTGCTGCTGCTCCACAGTGCGTCCAGTAGGTGGAATGAAGGGGGGTGGGCATTCATTGAGCTCCTGTTGTATGCCCGGAATTGAACTGGGCGCTGGGGTGTAAGAATAAACGCGGAGTTCCAATTCAAAGGAAGAGGCAGACAATCATCATAGTCATTCGAGCAACTATGAAATTCCAACTGTGGGCTGTGTGAGCATATGACAGATGTGAGGGTCCTGTTCAGTCTGGGCTGGTAGAGGGGTCAGGGGAAACTGCCCCAAGGAGGTGACGTTTGAACACCAGGTACCTCACAGAGCCATTTCATTTAGTGTCGAAAATCCTGCAAGGTGGCTCTCACCTTGGACAAAGCAGAAAAGGGGCTCAGATTGGGGAAAACTTACCCAAAGTCACACAGCGAGCTGGCAGCAAAGCCAGGAGGATGTGAAGGGCCCCGCCTCGCCGGGGTTCCTGGAGGCGAGGCAGGTGGCCAGCCACCCGCACAATGCTTCCCGCAACTCCAGGGCGTGGGGCGGGGCAGGGGTGGAGCCCGAGGTCTGACCCCGCCCACACGCTATAAGTGCAAGGGCGGCCCTGGGCGTGGGGACTGGGCGTGGGGACTGGGCGGAGGTGGGGTCTTTGAGGGGGGGCCACTTGGAGCCCGCCCTGGGCTCGTGGAAGGGGCGGAGCCGGGATCTCTCCCGCTGAGCGGAGGTGGGGTCTTTGGAGGGGGGGCACTTGGAGCCCGCCCTGGGCTCGTGGAAGGGGCGGAGCCGGGATCTCTCCCGGTCCTAGAGGAGGCGGAAGTGCCAAGCGAGTGCGGGGCCAAGGACACTTAGCCGCTGACCCTGTGCACTCAGATAGAGGCGGCGGCTCCGGGTCCCGGAGGTCCAGTGGGCAGCTCCAGAGGTAGGGCCCAACCCGGGCCTGCGAAGAGGTACCCCGCGCCCCGTCCCGCCTTGCCCCGCCCATCCGTCCTGCCATTCGAACCTCATTCCTTCCTGTTCTCGGGCCTGAGTCGGTCTCTAGCCAGAAGGGAACTCTCGAGGGCTGAGGAACTCAACTTCGTCCTTGTTTCCGGCCCAGCGCGGGTGGGGGAGCCCTGGACATCCAGAATTTGGGATCAGGAGATAATGAGATGCAAAAACCTTTCGGGGGAGGCGGACCCAGCGTCATCCCAGGCCGACTGACCTTGGGAGGTAACCCACCCATTCTGGTACTAAGTAGTCTCAGTGGCAAAGCAGGGGTGACCTTGCCCGACCGGCCCTGAGGCTGGCCAGGTGGGGAGGGTAGCTGTGAAGGCGGCTGGGAACCTGGGGTTGGGCTTTTCCCTTTCCCTTATCCTCCTGCTCCCTCTGTTCCTAGATAGAGAACCCTGCCCCTCCCTACCTAGCCCCAAATCTGGGAGCCCCAAAAGCTGAAAGCTCCCACCCAGGGCAGCTTGCTCCGGCTTCCCTGTGGTGGAGTTGTGTAGTGGCTTGGGAGACCTGTGCGTGTTCCCAGAGGGGTCTCAGGCTTGGGCACCCTGTGAGGCCTGCCTGGAGCCCACCTGCTCAGTTTGCAAACAGTGGGGTCACCATATCATGCAGGGCCTTGAATGCTGAGTTAAGAAGTCTAAACTCTCACCTGTGAGCAGGGACAGTGCATTGGAGTCTGACCTGTAGTGTCGTCAGGACCAGCCTGGGTGAATGGGGCTGTCACGACGCCAGGAAAGATGCTGGTGCTGATAGGTGACATGTATGGGCATTTATTGCCTGCTAGTACTTTACTTGAGTTATGTCATTAATTGCTCTTGCATCTCTTATGTTATCCCCATTCCAGAGGCTGAAACAGGCTTGGAGAGGTGAAGAGACTTGCCCAAGGTCACAGCTAGTGTCGGGGAGGGGATTGGAACCCAGACAATTTGGTGCCTTCCCCACAGTGTCCTGTTGCCATCTAGGATCTAGGCATCTGGTGATAAAGCCTTGACCTAGTTCAGCAGGAGGAGAAAGGAGGGACCAGATGAGCAGAAAATTGGGGAATGGGATTCAGAGGTTTTTTGGGGGTACCCATGAGTCCTGAGAGAAATTCAGCTGACCTGGGTTGTGGGGGGGTGAAGTATTTAATTTTAGACTTTAGTTTGGGGTGAAGGGTGACATAGGGGAGCCAAGCAGAGCTTCCCTCCATCTGGGAAAGACTCAAGGCTGGGTCCTGAGGAGAGGGGATGCCTTCAGGGATGGGTGCAGATAGGGGAAGGCAGCCAGAGCCTGGCTCACAGGAATCCCTCCAAATGCTGAGCAGGCAGATGTGGGGGCCTCCACTCGTGGGTGGGAGAACAGACAGGAATGAATTCTAGGCTGAGAAGGGTTTGAGAAATTGAGGCCTTGTTTCATAGAAGGGGAAATTGAGGCCAGCAAAGTTCTTGCCTAAGGACATTGCGTGGGTGGATCACCCAGGACAATCCCCTGAGTGACATCGCTGCTGTTCAGCTCTTTCTACTACCTTCAGTGGCTCTCAACCACGGCCAATTTTGATAATGTTTAGAGACAATTTGATTGTCACGACTGGAGGAGGTGCTACTATTGGTATCTAGTGAGTAGAGACCAGGGATGCTGCTAACCATCCTACAATTCCCCCACAGCAAAGAATTATCCAGCCCCAAATGTCAATGATTCCAAAGGTGAGAAACCCTGTACTTGGTCCAGCTCGAGTTTCACCCCTCCCCGACAGCCTCAAGCTCCTTTGCCCTCAGCAGGGCAGATAGCTCAGGCTTGGGCCTCCAGCTGGGCAGACCTTTGCCCCCAGCCGGGGTCTGCCCCTCCCATGGTTGTTCCTTTATTTCTGGTGGCTTCTAGCGTCCTCTCTGCTTTTCTTGGGCACAGTGGTCTAGAGTCCTGCCCACCACATGTCTGCCTTGTCAGTTTGTCTGTCTCCCCAGGCCTATGTTCACAGAGTTTGGTGTTAGGTGGGGAGACACCAAAGTGGAAATTTTCACATTGTTGCATTGTTGATAAAATATTTATTACACTTGAGTGGCATGCTCAGGGTCCAAAGATCTTCATTTTATCTCAGTTTTCACTTTAGCAATTGAAATTGTACCTTATGTCTGTGAAGCTCCACACTTCTCACAAGCTCCCAGGTGACGCTGGTGCTGCTGGGGATGGAGCACACTTTGAGTGGCAAGGTATTACAGGGCTGCGCAGAAGGGGGCTGTGGGCCGGGCTGCTCTCTCCGCAGACAACTGTGGACTGAGGAGTGGAAGGAACCATGGCATGGAGTCAGGAAACCAGGATATGAGTCATCACTCCTTCGCCCCATCTATGGCCTCTTAGCTTAATAGAGTTTGGATAAATCACTTAACTTCTTTGAGGGCTGGTCTTGCATGGCAGGCGGTCCTCCAGGAATTCTGATTCAGGGTCTGAGAGAGGGAAGTGCCCTGTGGAAGCTGATGGCCTGTGTCCTGGCAGCCAGAGGGCAGTGGGCCACTGGCCCGGCCAGCGGGGAGGGCAATGAGCTGAAGTTGGCAGATGGGCACCATGCCAGCGTGGAGGCGGCTCTCATTGTGGCTCTGGTTTTTCTCTTTGGTGGCCACGACCTCCTGCTTCTAGCTCACCGAGCTGTGCCTGGTGTGGGAAAGCTGGAGGGACAGGTCTGGCCGGGGGAAGGAGGAGAGCTTTGGTGCCACGGGCCAGTCCTGGGCCTGAATAGTGGCCTGAGGACTGGGGGTCGGGCCTGAGAACGATGGCCTAGAGACACCGGAGTCAGCTGTGGGCCGTGGATGGACTTCTCATCCTCCTAAGGAAACTGGGAAGGACTTGCAGTGGGAGCCTTAATCTGGGAGCTCCCTCCACCCACAGCTATAAGGAGATGAACCCAGGAAGAGAGCTGGGCAGAGCCTTAGGCACCTGCGGCGCTCCCACCCCTGGTACCTCACAAATCAGCCACGATGGGCCAGCAAGGCCCCTTTCAATTCCTAGGACCAGGAGGCAGCAAGACAGCCGAACCCATTTCTCAGGTGGAAAAATTGAGACTCCTGTGTCCTTATTTACTGGGAGGATATCAGCCTTTAGGGCTGTTGCCTGTTCCCCACAGGGGTCAGGGCCTGAAATGTCATGAGGCTGCCCCCCATTGACCCCAGGGAGGGGTGCCTGCCTCCTCCTATTCCCACAGTTGGGCCACCTAGGGTTCTGGGGCTCAAATCTCCGCTCCTCTCCTTCCTAGTGTGAGATCCCGGGCAATTCACTCCGCCTCTCTGAGCCTCAGCTGGCTTGTCTGTAAACAGGAATAATGACACCCACTCGGCCAAGCTTGTAGTTGTTGTGAAGAGGAAATGCGCCCTGTCGCTGAGCACTGTGGTCATTATCATTACTCATGGCATTTAGAGGCTCAGAGAACCCCAGGCCGCCTTACCCTGCGCCCTCATTTCACAGATGTGGGCATCGGCACCTGGAGAAGGGAGGCAGCTGTCCAGGAGCCTCATGGCTGCTCAGTAGGTGAGCCAGAACTAGAACCCACGTCTGCTGGCACCCCTCCCAGCCTGTGACTTCGAAGGCGCTCCGAGAGCGACACACTGTAAGCCAGGGCACCCGGAGTCGGGGTGGGGGGGGTCAGGATGCAAAGTCTCCCCACGGAGGGGCCGGGACCAGGCCTTGGTCCCAGCACTGCCTCCCTTTGCCAGCCCCAGCCATGAACTACGTGGGCCAGCTGGCGGGGACCGTGTTTGGGACGGTGAAGGAGCTGTACCAGGGCCTGAACCCGGCCACACTGAGTGGTTGCATCGATGTGCTGGTGGTGGAGCAGGTGGACGGCTCCTTCCAGTGCTCGCCCTTCCATGTGCGCTTCGGCAAGCTGGGCGTCCTGCGGTCCCGGGAGAAGGTGGTGAGTGCTGGCAGCTGCCGAGGGCCACGGCCGGGTGGGCTTTGAGGCCGGGGGCCGCCACCGCAGTCCCAGGAGAGCACCCAGGCCTCCCTGAGGTGGGGAGCTGTCCTCTGAACAGGCTTCCTGCCTTCTGTATTTCCTTTGATGGTTTTAGGTTAGTTTGGGGCTTTGGTCCAAGGGGTTCCTGTTTTCCCCTAAAAGCAGCGTAGTGGAGCCATCAGATCTGAAGCTGAGTAACCCTTCAGCGTACTCAGACCTTACCCGTGTGTTCTCATAAGTGGCTTCCCCTGTGCAAGTGGTGTCTTCTGCCTGGTGATTCGATAGGAGGTGATAACACCGTCCCCGGGCCAGGCCTGGGGGTGACCCTCAGATGTTCCTTCCTCTCCCTTAGGAAACCTGCACTGTTGTCACTGGGCTCTGGTGTGTGAAAGGGGGTGTGGTGGGCCCAGACCCCTTCACACTGGGCTGACTATGAACTGTCCAGTCACAGCGTAACCTTGTGGGAGATAGAATAGTGCCTTGTGGTTAAGAACTAGGCTCTGGGCGCACAGCCTCCTTTGGCTGCTTCCCAGAGAATTACTTAGCCCCTCCCAGCCTCAGTTTCCTCATCTGTAAAGTGGGAATAATGACTGGAGAGGCTGCAAGGGGAGCCTGTGAAGATGAAACAAGATGGTCTAGATAAAACGTGTTGCTAAGTGCCTAGGAAGCGGTCATTCTTACCATTGTTGGTCGAGCACTGCCCTGGGGCTGGGGACTCAGCAGTGACAAGATGAATCATGTCCTTGTTCTCATGGGCTGTGGGAGAGAGAGGAACACAGAAACCAAAGCATAAACAAGGATACGGAGACCATGATACATGCATCAAAGCCTCGAGAAGGGGGAAGTGTGTTGGGGGAGGGGCACAGAGGCTCAGCCAGCCTCTCCGAGGAGGCAGCGACCCTCAGAGAGGGGAGCAGCCCAGGACACTAAGGGCTGGGGAGACAGTTCCAGCAAATGCAGGCCTGGGGCGGGGAGGCAGCAGAGAGCCCATCACCCGGACCCGGACCGCTGGGAGGCCAGTGCCCCAGTGGACTAGAGTGTGGGAGTGAGGGCAGCCGGCGGGGATCATGCGCCCCATGGCCCATCATGCCCTGCTACAGGTGGACATCGAGATCAATGGGGAGCCCGTGGACTTGCACATGAAGCTGGGGGACAGCGGGGAGGCCTTCTTTGTCCAGGAGCTGGAGAGTGATGAGGTAAGTACCTCTGTCTTTGACAGCACCTGCCCCTGCCCTGCACTAGTGCCCCCTCTGGGCGGGGCCTTGGGGTTTGTCACTGTCAGCAGGGGTCCGATGCAGGGGATGGATGGGTTAGTGCTGGCACTCATGATCTGCTACTGGAGCCTGGGTAGGATTTGGGGGTGGGGGAGGGGACGAGGGCTGACTTACTCGCCAGGGAAAGTTGGGGAAGGTTTCTCAGAAGAGGACACTTGAGCTGGTCCCTGAAGGGTGAAAAGGAGGGAGCTGAGGTGTGGCTGGGGCTGAGGAGCATGAGATGGCTTGTTCTGGATCTGGGGCCGGCTCAGTGCAGCTGGAACATGGAAGTGCGAGGGGGGAGGAAGAAGAGAGGGGTGTTTGCAGAGGGAGGCAGGCCCAGCATGAGCCAGCAGAGGTGTTTAAATAGTTTGAGCTTGACAAACTTTAACTGAGCCCTGTGCCAGACACTGCAGCGAATTCAGGTGAGGGGTGACCCCTATTTCAAAGGAGGTTCCCAGACAAGCCTGGGAGACAGACACATAAATAGTGGCTGATGAAACCCTTTAGTCATTACAGTGAAGGGGGTTGGAACCGTGGCTGAGAATAGTCAGGGCAAACTTCCTGGAGGAGGTGACGCCTGGCTAAGTCTTAAAAGGGAAGTAGGTGTTTACTGGGGTAGGTGTGGGCAGAGACGATGAGAGGCTGATGCCCAGGTCTGTCCAGACAGTGTGGTCCACACCCTGGGCTGCCAGGGATGCAGGCGGCCCCTGGGGTTAGGGCTGCTTTACCTCTGAGGGAGCTCCGAGGCCAGCAGCAGTTACAAGGCCAGGCTGCTGCCACCTCTGTCCAGCCTCCATGCCTGTTTTCCTGACCCCAAATGAGCTCACTGCAGGGCCTGAGGCACTGGCAGGGCTCAGGATGCCCGGTGACCAGAGCGGTCCCCCTGAGCTGTAGCCCCTGATCTTCTCCGCAGGAACACGTGCCTCCCCGCCTGTGCACGTCACCCTTACCTTGGGGAGGCCTGTCTGGGTTCCCCTCGGACTCCCAGCTGGGTACAGCCAGCGAATCCGAGCCCATCATCATGGGTGTGGCCTCCACGGGAAGGAAGAAGAGGCTTCGTAGGAGGAAACCCAGGTGGAAGGAGGACACGGTGGCGGACGATTCTAGTTCTGAGGAGCTGGAGGCAGGTGCTGAGAGTGAGCTGTCCCTGCTGGAGAAGCCGAGGCTGGAGACCACAGGATGTGTGGAGACCAGGTGGGGGCCAAGGGTGTGAGGATGCCAACTGGGTTCAAGCACTGTTTCCTCTGCTGGTGCTGTGTGACCCTGGGCGAGGGCCTTGACCTCTCTGGGCTTTAGTTGCTTCACCTCTCCAAGCCCCTGACGTCCAGGCTCCCATGCCCTGTGCTGTCAGTGACCATTTATTTCCCTGTGGCCCCTCAGCAATATCCAGTTGGAAGAGGAGTCCTCGTCACAGCCTACAGACATCTACCCCTACTCCGACGGCGAGTGGCCCTCCCAGACCAGGTGAGAATCCAGGTGGGCCGCAGGGGGGGACTCATCACCAAGGTGGTTTCCATTTACACTTTTCTAATCAATAATGACTTAGAATACATTTAATGTGTTTACCAGCCACTTGTATAGCTCCTTTGTAAAGTGTTTAAGTTGTTTGTCCATTTAAAAAAATTGTGGTAACATGCACATAACATAAAATTTACCATTTTGGTCATAGTAAAGTGCACAATTCAATGGCATCTAATAAATTCGTGATGTTGTGCCACCATCGAAGACAATCCCTATCTAGTTCCAGAATTTTTTCATCACTCCAAATGGGAATCCTATACCCATTAAGCAGTCACAAACTTGCCCCTCTCCCCCCCTTTTTTTTACTGGACTGCCTTCTTATTATTGATTTGTTGGGAGTTCCTTATATATTACTATATCCTTTATATATTCTGGGGATGCAACACAAGCATAAATATGTTTTGCAAATATTTTCCCCAGGCTGGGGGTTGGGGGGTGGCAGGCTGGTTTGGGCGTCTCTGAATTCTTGTTTCCTGCAGCCTTTCATCGGAAGGGCTAACATCCCCTAAGAGTGACTCGGAGCTGGAGGTGAAGACCCCGGAGCCCAGCCCCCTGAGAGCTGAGTCGCACATGCAGTGGGCCTGGGGGAGGCTGCCTAAGGTGAGTTCCTCTGTGCCATCCGCCATCCCCCATCCCTGCCTTTCGGGGCTCCATGGCCCTGCGGATGAGGACTGGAGTGACTGAGACTGGGGCCACCTTCCCAAGGCCTTGTGGGGTGTGGGAGGCAGCCCCTGCATCGGCCCTGCCCACATCCTTCCCATTTGTTTGACTGAAGGTGGCCAAAGCTGAGAGGCCCATGTCCTCGATGGTCCCCGATGGCAGCACTGGGGCAGCCTCAGCTCAGGGAGAGCCCAGCACCCCTGACCTTCGGCCTGACACGGAGGTGCCCGCTCTGATGGGTCCCCCTCTCCCTGCCCCGGAGAGAGAAAAAACCAAGACTCAGAGATCCGGGGATGCGGGTCTCTCTCCTGCCTCAAAATCATGGAGCTGGGCCGCTCTGGAGGGTCCAGCTCCCACCGAGCCGCCAGAGGGGTTCTCCAGGAGGAAAGGTGAGTGATGGCTGGACACCCCCCAGTGCTTCCCTGGTCTCACGTTACCTCTGGGGTGGACTCTGGGACATCAGGCATGTTTTGAGCACCTACTGTGTGCCTGGCATTGTGTTTGACACCAGCCCTCATGGGGGGGCAGACAGATAATGCATACAAAAGCCAGGAAGAATGTTACAGGGATGATGTGGAATGTTACCGTTCACTGGGTGGGACGGGGGCTATCTAGATCATGTGGTCAGGAAGGCCTCTGCAAGTGGGTGATGTTTGAGCTGAGACGTGAACAATGACCTAGGCAAGTGAGGATCAGGGGAAGAGAGTTCTAGGCAGAGGGAATAGCATGTTTCAAGGCCATGAGATAGGAGAGAGGTTTCATGTTTAGGAACGGAGGCAGCTGGTGTGTCTTGAGCGAGGCCGGGGAGAGGGTTGGCAGAGGAGACCGGGAGATGAGCAGGGCTGGACATTCTCGGCTCATCAGCTGGGATTATTCTGAGTGCACGGGAAGGCACTGGGTAGTCACTGGATACACGTGGCTATTCAACGTTACAACTAAGTAACATTTTAAGAATTCCATTTCTCCAGCACACCACATTTTAAGTGTGCTGATGGTCACCTGTGGCTGTTGGCTACTGGACTGGACTTGCTGACATAGGACATTTCTAGCATCGTAGAAAGTCTACCGGACAGTGCTGCTTTAGGTGCTCCAAGACAAGGGGGCCTCATACTGCTCACACGACTGAGTACGTGCTAGGTCTACAGCAAATGTCATCTCCTCCGCCCTCAGGCTCCCTGAAGAGAAGCCAGCACCTGGGCCCCAGCGACATCTACCTGGATGACTTGTCCTCTCTGGACTCTGAGAATGCAGCCCTTTACTTCCCCAAGAGGTGCCTGGGTTCTGGGTGCTAGTGGCTTGGGATCAGGACTGGTGGGGCCAGGGGTTGGCTGTCAGGGGCTTGAGAGGGGTGAGGCCCTCCTCCCAGCCTCCTTGTATTCATGTCACTGCTGACCCCTTTCCCCTCAGTGACTGTGGGCTGGGGCCCAGGAGGTGGAGTGAACCCGGTAGCCAGAAGCCAATGGGGGACCCCAACCCCGAACAGGAACCAGAACCCACTCTGGACACGGTGGACACGATAGTGCTGTCTCTCTGTGGAGGACTGGCTGACAGCCGGGACATTTCCCTGGGTATGTCCAACCACGAGCCCTTCTAAGGATTGGCCCTGAGCCTGGGGGCTGGGGAGAGCAGGGAGGACCCCAGAGGGTGGGGCAGCTGAGGGGTGAGGCTGGGCCAGGCTCCCTGCCCTGTGGAGCCCACATTCAGCCAGCAAGGATGGGGCATTCCCAAGGCCCCCTGAAACCAAGGCTGGATGCTTAGCTGTGGCTTATCCTGTGAGTCCAGGATGGCCGGGGCCTGGGGTGGGAAGAGCAGGTGCAAAACCACAGGAAGGGAGGCGCCCTGTGGGAGGCCTGAGTGGTGGAGTGCGGAGGGACCCGGAGAGACTAGGGCAGTGGGTCATGCGGGATGTATCTGCCTCTCCCCTCACTCTCTGACTCTGTGCCCAGAGAAGTTCAACAAGCACATAGTCTCCTACCAGGACCTCGTCCAAAACCCTGGCCTCTTGGACGACCCAAACCTGGTGGTGAAAATCAATGAGAAGTAAGTACCAGGGCTGGGCTGCTGGCTGCCACAGGAGTCACCCTGCCTCCTTCATGGCCCTGCAGCTCCTACACCCTGTTCTGTCCCTCCAGGCACTATAACTGGGCTGTAGCTGCCCCCATGGTCCTCTCCCTCCAAGCCTTTCAGAAGAACTTGCCCAAGGTAATGGTTAGAGCACCACTGGGCCTCCTGGGGAAAGTGGCCATGGCCTCAGGGCAGGGGGCCTTTAGCCAAGAAGTGGAGGGTGGGCAGAGATGGGCCTGGGGCTGACAGATTGTAAGACCCACTCTGGAAGAGGACACCCCTGAAGCCTCCTCCCTTCTGTGTGGACAGAGCCACCCCCTTCCCTGGTTTCCTGGCGTAGCTGAATCCCACCGGATTGGGACTGTACTTCAAAGGAGCTCAGGACAAACCAGAGGGGGATAAACATTGGGCAGGGACATGCCTTCAGCAGGAAGTTTTCAGATCTGGGAGATGGAGGTCCCACTCCTCACCTGACCCTGAGAACCTCTGAGGCTGGGCTGCAGGTGTTTGCCCGCTCTATCAGCACACATTTGTTATGTACCTACTATGTGCCAGGGACAGTCATGCCCTCAAAGAAAGACAGTTAAAGACTCGGCCAGGTGAACGTAAAATTCAACTGTGAGTATTGGGAAGGAGAGGTCTGGGTTGCTTTGAGAGCCTCAACGGGGAAGTTTGCTGAGCAAGTGCCTGCTGGGCAGAGATGGGAAAGATGAGTAAGCCTTGGCAGGAACAGCATGTACGGATGCTCAGAGGTGGGAAGGAACCCAGCCTCTTTAGTCCCTCCTTGAGCCTCCACCCTGTCCTGCTCTGCACCTGCCCCTTCTGCCCTTCTGGAAGTGGTCCAGGGCCCTGCCCTGGTCTATTGTTCTCCATTTGATTAGAGTTGCCCAAAGAACATCACTAACCAGACGTAGACAGCTGGTGCCTCCCTTTAGTGATGCTGAGCTCCATCCTCTGGCTGGCTCTGGCTCTGAGCTAGTACCACAGCCTGTGAGAAGGAGGAGGGTCACTCTCCTGCTTGACTGTCCTCACCTGGACATACCCACCATTGAGGTCCCTGGGAGACTGCCTCAGCCTGTTCCCAGCTCAAGTGGGCACCCTGGCCGACCCACGCCAAGCCCATGTCCTCCTGGCGTGGGTGCACCATTCTGTGTTTGTAGGAAGCACAGATCTAATCAGTATTTTCCACAAGCTCATGTTACCCCCACCAGACAGGATGGTAACATACAGAGGGCGCATTTATGGGATAGAATCACTGACCTTACGAGTTGCCTGTGTTGGTCTTGGAGGTTGCGGGGAGGACTGGCCCTAGACTGTCCTTCCTGCTGTCACTTGGTGGCTTCATGCAGGGAGTACCAGATCTTGAGAAACTCCCACAGCACTGCCTCAGCTACTCTGGAGAAACTGACCCACAAGCTTTAGAAGCCAGGCCGAGGCTGGGCTAGAGGTAGGGGTCAGGGCTGGGATGGAGTGGCCCTTGGTCTCCCGTGCTTACTTACACGAAACCCAGAATGGTGGTGGGTATGCTTCCTCGGACTCCAATGTTGGCAGCACCTTGCTTGAAGGTCAGCCCCAGGCCCCGGGCTTATGGTGGCCCCAAGGGCAGTCTCAGGTGGATTTGTGTGATGCCGGGGGAAATGCCATGGCCTTTATCTGCCCACAGAGCACCGTGGACAAGCTGGAGAAGGAGAAAATGCCCAGGAAGGGTGGGCGGTGGTGGTTTTCCTGGCGACGCAGGGACTTCCCGGCCGAGGAGGTGGGTGGTCACGGTCCCAGGGTGGGGTCAGCTTAGGCAGGAGCTCACTGTTCACTGGATGGATGTTCTTCCCATAGAGAAATGCCCCGAGGGAGAAGACCACAGCCAGGGAGGCACGGGGGTGAGTTGCTGTCTTGGCTGGGGTTGGGGAGGATTGCTGTTGGAGGGTCCGAGTGGTGCAGGCACCCCTCCCCCAGCCAGGGTTCTCTGTCACTCCCTAATCACTCCTACACCCTTTCTTTCTCCTGAGAAATGCCCCCATTTCCCAGATGGGAAAACTGACACTTCGAGATATACCAAAGGTCCCACAGCCGAGAAATGGCAGAGCTGGAATGGGTGCCTAGACTCCTGGCCCAGACAAGGGGTTACTGTAATAAGGAGGGCAGAGCCTCTCCTCTCCACCAGGGGTCTGCTGATCTTGCTTCCTTTTTTACCTCTGATCTGAGCCAGAATGCCCAAGGTTCGGGGTAGGGGTGGGGGAGGGGGGCAGAGGGTAGCCAAGGTGAAATCAACTGAAGCCAAAGCAGGTAAGGTTGGGCATAAACCCTAAAACACATTTCTGGGTTTTCAGGTAAATATCTCCAGGCAGGTCTGGCCTCCTGGCTGTGGAGAGGCACTGAGGGCTGAGCGCCCGGGCCCTGGCTCCAGCTCTGCCACCACCTTTCTGGGTCTAGCCTGCCGGCCCACATCCTTAGTCTGCTACCACCCCCAAAATGGGTGGCACCTAGAGGGAGGAGTTTCTGGTCCCCTGGGTAGTCTCTGGAGAAGCAGGGACAGGCCCAGGCTCCTTGTGGCCTGGGTGGAGGGGTGTCTATTGGGAGTGCAGTGCCTTCAGCTGGCGGAGGTGCCTGAGAGCTGCACTGCCCACAGGGAGAAGACTGATGTCCTGAGTAGCGAGGATGACGCCCCTGAGAGCCCTGTCATCCTTGAGGCTCCCTCCCTGCCGACTTTGCCTCCAGCCTACTCTCCTGCCTACAAGAAGTCCCTCCGCCTCTCCTCTGATCAGATCGTAAGTGTGTCCATGTGGGATGGTGGGGGTGGTGATAACTCTGTCACAGAGCCCCACAGTCACTAAAGCCCAGAATCCAAGCCCTTGGCAGCTGAACAGCCTCTGCTTGAATACCTCCAGGGGCAGGGGGCTCACTTCTTTACTTGCCAGTCCATTTCTCTGTCAAATGCCCTCACCGGAGAAGCCCTCGCTAGGCCTACAATATCAACCTGCAGTGGGTGGGCTGGCTCCACTCTAGCCCTTGGAAGCAAATGTTGATGACAGCCCTTCAGATTGGCCCTGGATTCGCGTCTTTGAGCTCAGTAACAGGTGGCTCCTGAAATAAGGATGTTTTTCCTCTGAGTATGACTCCATGGCCAGGGAGGTGCCTGGGGGCCTGGCCGGTCTGGTACAGAGCAGCGCCACCTGTGTGGTACCAGGACTCACACCGGCTGTGGCTGAGCTGCCCTGATCCTTCTCTGTGGACCAAGGAAAGGGCTAGGGTCTCTCTCTGGGGATGTCACAGGTATCCTAGCCCCAGGCAGGGGCTGCCTGTGATGATCCCCACAGGGCCTTCCTATACATGAGGCGTCTCCCTGTCAAGGGCAATGCCAGCCTTGGGGCTGACCTGAGAAACTTGAGTGGGAGCCTCGGGCCAGGCTTTGTCCTCGAGCTTCACCCCAAAGGAACACAGGGAGGTTAGGGCTCTTGTGCCCGGCACTGTGCGGGCCCCACCAGCACTCCCTCACTGCCTCCTCGGGGCCACCCTCTGCCCACGTGGCTCTCTCTGATGGATTCAGACAGGTTCTCTGAGCTGGGAAGGAGAGGCCTGGGGATTGAAGGCCACAGTTTGGGGTGGCAAGGGGTGGACAGTGCCTGGCTGTGGCTGATCACAGCTCCCCCCACCTTTGCCCGGCCCCAGCGGCAGTTGAACCTGCAAGAAGGTGCCAATGATGTGGTCTTCAGCGTGACAACCCAGTACCAGGGTACCTGCCGCTGCAGGGCCACCATCTACCTGTGGAAGTGGGACGACAAGGTGGTCATCTCGGACATCGATGGTACCATCACCAAGTGAGGCCTGGTTGGTGGGGGAGAGGGAGGGCCTGGAAATGTGCCTCCCTCTGTGCTGGGGGGCAGGGGCCAGGGAGAGAGGCCCCCCAGTGCACCATCTTGGGGCTGGGAGCTGGGCCCCATGCATGGAACATGAGGGCCACATGAGGCTGCCTTGGAGTGACCCCTCCTCTGGGATCTAGGTCGGACGCTCTGGGCCACATTCTGCCCCAGCTGGGGAAAGACTGGACGCACCAGGGCATCACGAGTCTCTACCACAAAATCCACCTGTGAGTGCTGGGGCTGGGGCAGGGCCCCAGGGAGGGAGGGACAGGACAGTTTAGGCCACCATAGTTTCGGCCCTGGGGAGCCAGGCTTGGGGACCGGCAGGGCCCAGAGAGAAAGAAGCTGGGCCATGTCACTGGAGTGCTGAGACCCGCCCACCAGTCCTCCTGAGGAAGACTCCTCCCCTGGGGCCTGGGGTCTGGGTCTAACTGCTGGACTTCATGCTCCAGAGGAAGTCTGCGGACTTGCTCACACCCTTGTCCATCTCGGTCCGCCTGGGCCTTGGGACTCTGTCCATGCTCCCTCTCCCGAGGCCGCCTCTCAGCCTGCCCAGCTGTTCTCCTGGACCGCTCCCTGCAAAGGCCTCTGGGCTTAGAGGCTTCAGCTGAGCTGGCTGAAGCCAAGAGGGCAGGATGGGTGGTGCCATCTCCTGGTCTCTGATGGCTCTGTGCCACCTGTCTCCACCCCCAGCAACGGGTACAAGTTCCTGTACTGCTCAGCGCGGGCCATTGGCATGGCTGACCTCACCAAGGGCTACCTACAGTGGGTGAGCGAGCGGGGCTGCGGCCTCCCTAAGGGCCCCATCCTGCTGTCTCCCAGCAGCCTCTTCTCCGCCCTGCACAGGTAATCCCCTACACGATACGAGCCCACAGCCCTGGAGGGGGGTGCGGGCCCACTGCCAGCCCAGGCCGGCACTGGGCCTGTGTCACCTGACCCTGCCGTCCTCCGATTGCTACCCCTCCCCGGCTGCCTTCCCTGCCCTGGCCCTGGCTCCCCAGGGAGGTGATTGAGAAGAAGCCAGAGGTGTTCAAGATCGCCTGCCTGAGCGACATCCAGCAGTTGTTTCTGCCCCATGGACAACCCTTCTATGCCGCCTTTGGGAACAGACCCAATGTGAGTGTCTCCTCCCCGAGGGCTGAGGCACCTCTCCCCACCCCGCAGCCCACCAGCCCCTCCTTGTCTCCCACAGGATGTCACTGCCTACCGGCAGGTGGGCCTACCTGAATCTCGGATCTTCACGGTCAACCCCCGGGGAGAGCTCATCCAGGAGCCCATGAAGAACCACAAATCCACGTGAGGCCAAACCCTGCCCTGTGTCCCCAGGCCCTGCCATGTCCCCACACCCCAGCCTCTGCCTGGGCCCCAATTCCAGCTCTGCAGAGGGGCCTCTGGGGTGCAGTCGGCCTGACGTGACGGGGGCCGTGGTCTGGCGGCGGCTCAGGCCCTCAGTGCTGGCCCTGTTTTGCTCACAGGTACAAGCGGCTCAGCGAGGTGGTTGAGCTCCTCTTCCCGCCCTTGGACCGTGGCCCCAGCACAGACCTGGCCAACCCTGAATACAGCAGCTTCTGCTACTGGCGGGAGCCACTGACCACTGTGGACCTTGATACCCTGGCCTGACACCCCTTCCTCCCTGGCCTGGCCCAGAACTGACTGGGAATCCCAGGACATCGGGCGTTGGAAGCTGGGTGCCACAGGACCAACCGGACGCGGAGGAGGGGAGATGAGGGCTGGTTGGCAACCTCTCTCCTCCCTATCCTGTCTCTTGCCTCTGCCAGCGGAGCTGCAGGGGATGGGGCAGCTGTTCCCGGCCTCAGCTGGCCTGTGGCAATTAAATGACTGTCACCCGGGCCCTTGCCGTGTTCTCTGAGCCCTTGATGTCTCTGTCCCCATCACTCTGAGACTTTGCCTCAACTCCTGATGGGACAGAGAGAAGAGGGAGGCCCCACTGAGGCTTGAGAGCTGTAGGCACAGGGAAGGTTGGCAGCAGCAGTGGGGCATAGATTAGCATCTGGGAGGAACACAATGTCCCCCCACCCCTTCAGGGAGCCTCTGAGGCCAGACCCTTACATAGCCCTGGCCCGTTCCCACAGCTCTGGGGCCAGACACCTCAGCATGTCCCCTGAGGATGCAGCCCCAAATCCTGCCAAGCAGGTGGGGTTGGCCTGCCGCCCTCCCCAAGTTCAGTGCCCACACAGCTGCAGAGCAAGCTCTTGCCCAAGGAGCTGTGGGAAGCAGGACTGACACCCACTGCAGTCATCCCTCCCACTGTCTTTGGGGAAGAAAGTACCTTTAGAAACTAAAGTACCTTTAGTTTAGAAAGGCTAAAAGCTTTAATCCAGGCCCACCCTCCCCCAACAGCACCAAGTAGAGGGCAGAATTCCAAATGTCGAGAAGCCGGAAGGCAGGGCTACTGGAACCTGCAAAACAGCACAGGAGGGCCCCTGATGCCGTGGGGAAACTGAGGCCAGGCGCCTCAGCAGACAGGCATCAGGGTCTCTGGGAATTGTGCAGGCCAGATGAACGCTTGTATTTTCAGATTGTTCCTCGGTCATGTTCTACCTGAATTCCTCATGACTTCATGAACATCCAGGCGGGGCTGGGTTTGCAAGGATTCTGGAAACTAGGGCTGGAGCCCTCTCCCTCCAGCCATGGCCTTCTGCCCAGGGCTTGGCCTCATTCAGGCCATGACATACATGAGAGTGGCCCTAAAGATTTCCCCCCACACACGAAAAGGAGGGGACTATGTGGGGCCCAGAGTGCCTGAAAACATCTTTGGGGAAGAGAAGGAAGCGCATAAATTGCACGGGATCTCCAAACAGACCACCTGGGCCCAATCCTGTCCTCTGGGAAGCGACAGCTCCCTAAGCCCTCACCTGTGGGAGGGTCAAAAGGAATAAAGAGAACTCGTGCCTGAGTCTGTGCTTCTGTTCTGCCCGGAAGGACCTGTGGTGGTGGAAGCCTCTGGTCCTTGGTTCAGAAATAGCATCTGTGAAGCTGCCAGGTGTGAGGACAGTGCCAATGGGCAGCACCTTCCTGCAGATGACAGAGGAGAGAAGCTAAGGGGACAAAGGAACCAGGAGCCTCCATGGGCTCGGGCCTACTGCCCGTGGGCAAAGGGAGATGTGGACAGGCCACTGTCTGAGGATGGACCTGCAGTCTTTGCCCAGATGCCAACTCATGTCTGCAGAAGGGCAAGTGGCAAACTGGATTGTGAGGTCTCCTAGGTGCACCCTTGCCTGCAGGCATGTTGTACTCGCCTTGACCACTATCCTGAACTGTCCAGTTGGTGCGGCAGTGAGCATGGGTGTTGATGTCTGAGACAGTCACGTGGAGCTGGACCAAGACTGTTCCTTCAGTAGCCTCTAAAATGGCCTCTGCAATGGCCAAGGGAGGCTGGGAAGCATGGTCTGGGCTCTGGGGTGATGGCCCCAGGGTTGGTAGGATCTGGGTGTTGGGTCCTGTCCAGCCTGCCTAGTTGGCCCGCCCTGGCCGCCCCTGCTCAGCCAGCTGGGCTTGGCAATCTAGCAGGTCATCCCGGAGGCGGGCGATGTCCTGCGCGTGCTGGGCCAGCGTGCGATTCAGTTGATCCACATGGCCCCAGAGGCCCTCCCTGGGCCTGAGTGAATCAGTGGGCAAGCTGTTCAGGTCTGCAGCCATCGGGCCCAGCTTCCCACACACACCCTCCACTTGGGCCACCCTCTGATCGAAATGGCCCACTGCCAGCTGGAGTTCCTGGGCTGTGTCCTGGCAGCGGCTCAGCCCGCCAGCCACATCGGCCACACCGGCCTTGAGTTGCTCCAGCTCCCCCCGCAGGCTCAGGACCTGCCTGTGGCCAGCTCGAAGCCGTGAGCCTTGGCTGCTGACCTGCTCCTGGATGGCGTGGACCTCGGCCTCCACCTTGCGTTCCCGCTCATCCAGGGAGGTGTTGGTGGCTAAGAAGGCATCGGAGTACTGGCTGACGGAGTCGCTGAGGCCTGTGAGTGACTTGCTCACGGAGTTCAGATTGACCTTGAGCAGGGTGATCTCGCCCTGGAGTGAGCTGCCCGTGGCTTCTGCCAGCTGCCCCTGGACCTCGGCCACAGTGCCATTGAGCTGCTGGAGTAAGGCTGTGTGGCTGGCCACCTGGCGGAGGAGGACCTCAATCTGGCTCTGCCAGGCCTTCACCTCTGCCACGAGGTTGTTCAGAACAGCTGAGGTGGTGCTGGGGGTACATGAGGTCTCCAGCGAAACCAGCCGTTGTTCCAGCACAGCGAGTTCTGTCTGCACCAGGGGCCCTGCCGGCCTGCCTGGCGGGGTACTGTCACGGCTTAGCTCCCCAGCCAGTGTCAGCAGGCGCTCCTCCAGGCTGTGCACACGCTCTTCCAGCAGGGTCCTGAAACCGCCCCCGCGGCCTCCCCCCTCCTTTACCCCCTGACAGCAGCCCCTCCCTCCACTCTCTGTCCCGTTGAGGGTCTCCAGGCCCTCAAGAAATCCATCCACACCCCCCTCGAGCATGGCAGCAGAGAGCCGGGTGAGCTCATCCCTGGTGCTGGGGCCATGGCCCCTTTGGACCTCGGTGACGGCCTGCAGGTTGCTCTCGAGGCTGTCCATGCGGGCGCTGACCAAGGCCAGCTGGCTGCAGCAGCTGCCCCTACCGGCCACGCTCAGGCCCTGCAGCCGGGTGCCCAGCTGTGAGAGCTCTCGGCGCAGGGCCAGCTCCCGGCCATCCAGGCTCTGGTGCAGCCGCAGGCTGGCCGCCTGACCTTCCTCGCACTGCTGCCGCACCTCCTGCACCCGCAGGTCGCATGTGCTCTGGACGCCTTGCAGCTTCTGCTCGAAGCCATCCAGCAGGCTCCCCCAGAGTTGATGCAGCCGTCGGTCCACATATTCGTCCAACAGGGCCAGGGAGGTGAGCGGAGATGGGGGCGCCTCCCGAAGCTGCTGCAGGCGGGCCTCGTGGCCGAGGGCCAGCCCATGCACCTCATCCAGCAGCTGCACCTTGGTCCGCAGTGTGTTGCTCACCTCTGTCACCTTGCTCAAGATCTCATCCAGAGGAGGTGTGAGTGGCCTCCCAGCTCTGTCTCCAGGGTTCACAAACCCCTCGGGGAGGCCTCCAAAGCCCACCTGGGGATCGGGAGCTCTGGGGCCACCAGTCATCCTGTTGGGGTCCTCGTGGCTGGCCACCAGGCCGCTGAGGGTACCATATGCTTGTGCCAGGCGCTGGACATCACCCTCCAGGCGTTCCAGCCGCTCACCAAACAACCCCAGGCCTTTTCTTCCTGGGAAAGAGAAGGAGAGAACCCCGGGGTGGGATCACTGGCCTGGCTCCCTCAGCTTGTCCTGGTACCAAGCCACCTGAGAGATTTTCTGTTCTAAGCCAACCTTGCTGGGCATAGCTCTGTCACTTTGGGGAGGGGGCCTGGGGGCTCACCCTTTTGCCCAGCACAAGATGCACCCTCCCTAGCCCTGCCCAAGCTCAGCTAGCTTGGGTCAGTCCCCTTCCCACCTCCCCCAAGAAACCCAACCACCTTGGTAGGGTCTCCATGGGCAGACTCACCGTAAGGGCTGGGGGTGGCTCTGCTAGGAGGGGGCCTGGGGCCTGGGCTCAGCTGCCCGGAGGGAATCTGGGGCTCAGGCTCCGACTGGGGTGGGGCGGCCCCGTGGTCTGTGAGGTGCTCAGGGCAGCCTTCTCCAGTGAGCCCAGGGCAGCAACGCCAGGAGAGTTCTGTCACCTTCTTGTAGCCGACCTTGTATTTGGGTCTGAGCACTGTGCGGTACCTGGGCCAGGGATGGGGAGAGGGCAGGGCTCTGTGTCTGTGGGCTGAGGCGCCTGCCTCCTGGCAGGTGACCTTGCCCCTGGCTGGTATTCAGGGCCACTCTCAGACACTTGGATACAGTCTAGGTGTCTCCCTGCCTCCACCACACCCCCAGGGGTTTCCTTTCCTGTGCTGAAGGTGACAGGGCCAAGGGATGGAAGCAGGCCTTGCCAAGGCTCAGAGATGGGTTAGGGGAGCGCAGGAAAAGGGGAACAAGAATTTAGCCCCAAGGCTCCCAAGGTCACCTGCACACCCTTGAGCTCATACTACCATCAGAAATTTCACTGTGGCTTTGGTGGGACCTTGAGGAATTCTGACAAAGGTGTACTGCCCTGGAGCTGGGCAAGCAGCTCCTCTCACTGCCCGGGGGCCACTCTGGGCTCCCATCAGCTCCCCTGTTCTCTCCACTCCTTCCTACCCTACTCTGGAAACTCAGCTCTGGTCATGGAGGCTGGTGACAAGGTACCTCTGATTTTGAGCACAGCGGTGAAGGGCCCAGGTGGAAGGCAGAGCAGGGGCCACTCCCTCACCTGTTCACCCACTGAAGGGTGCCTGGGGCATGTGCCCAAGGATCCCGAGTACACAGACTTGTATTCAGACCTGCATTTGAACCTCTCCAAGTACAGACCTGAGCACCCCACCTATGTGGGATACACCACACATCCTCACTTGGCCCCATCTGGCCAGTCTGAGGCCCCTGGCTGGTATTCAGGGCCACTCTCAGACACTGGATACAGTCTAGATGTCTTCCTGCCTCCACAACACCCTGTCACCTTCCTTTCCTGTGCCGAAGGTGACAGGGCCGAGTGATGAAAGCATGCCCTTCCCATACCCTCACCCTGGCCTGCCTTCTCCACATCACCACAGCCCTCCTTGAGTCTGCCCGGGGCCCCTTTGGCATCAACCACTGCCAGTGTGACCCTCTGCTCTCCCCTGTGCCCCCCACCCCCAACCCTTGCCCCTGCTTCTTCCTTGCCTGGGTGCTGCCTCTCCCCTAGAAACCCTCCCCTGGTGCCCCTGTGGGTTCTGACCAGACCAGCCTGCCCCTGATTCCTCCCTGGCCCCCTCCACCCGGCTGGTGTGGGCTCTAAGAGAGTTGCAGCCCTTGTAGAGCTGGCTGCTGCTCTCAGCTTAAGGCAGGCCTGGGGCATGGGCCCAGGGATCCTGAGTGGGTGGGATGGGGGTGCACTCACGTGACTGTCCCGGGGCACTTGGGCCCCCATCCACACTGCCGGTACTCAGCCTTTATGTAGCTCTCTGCTCCCTCCTGTAGGACACAGGTCACATTCCTGTGCACCACGTAGGCGCAGAGGGCCCTGCAGGGGAGAATGGCATCCTTGGAATATCTGGCCTGGGCCGGGCCCACTGAAGCTCCTACACCCCCTCCTCCATCTGTGGCCTCAGCAGGAGATGTGACCCCCATCTTTTCTCCTTATTGCTGGGAGCCAGGGCCCTGGGCCTGGGGTCCCGCCCACTGCTGGTCTCGCTGGTTCCAGCCTCCCCATTGGGTTGGACACTGGGTTCAGCTCTGTACTGAACCAAGAGACTGGTGCAGCTGCCCTTCCCTGGTCTGACCTCTGCCCTCCCTGCCTGGAGAAGAGGCCCACCCTGGATTCCCCACTGAGGGCTTTGCCACATTCCAACTCCTTCACTGGCTCTCACCTCCTCATCTTAGCATTGGAGGTTTCTGAGGTCTCAATATAGTTCATGAGGCCTTTGAAATCACCCTTCTCTCTTCCTCCCCTGACCGACTCCTGGGGCAATGCACCCACCTTGTACCTTTCTGCCCCCTGCCTCTGTTCTGGTTCCTCGTCCTCAGATCACTTCTTCTACCACCTCCTCCAGGAAGCCTGCTCTGATGTGACCAGGCCCACTAAGTGTCTGCTACTGGCCGACACTCCAATACCTCTGAAATGCAGCTAGAGTTCAAATGCAGCTAGCGCCCCAGGCAGAGCCCCTAACTCACCTGGACACCAGTTGGCATGCCACTGCCTACGAAAGACCAGAGGCTGAGACGGGAGGGGCAACAACCCCACTTACCGGCCACAAGGGCTGGGGTGGCGGCTGCCTGGCATAAACCAGCCACCTGTGGACTGCTGTGGAGCTCTGGAGCCACAACATGAACCCAGGACCCAGGAGTCCCAACTAGCTCTGTGGCCCACCCACGTTGGGGCTGCCAAGGGGCTGCTGGGGCCCGGCGGACCGAGGGACAGGGTGGGCCGCTGGGCGCAGGGCTCCATCTCCGACCTGGTGGGGCAGGGGAGTGGTCGAGCCCGCGCTCCCGAGTGTGTGTGTGTGTGTGTGTGTGTGTGTGTGTGTGTGTGATAGAGAGAGAGAGAGAGAGAGAGAGAGAGAGAGCCCCGCGTGCGGACCGCCCTCCCTCCCTTCCCTCCACCTGGTCCGCTGCGTCCGGGTTGCACACAGCGCAGCTGGAAAATGTTACTTCGCTGGAAAGGTTTCCGCGGGCACTGCCAGGATCCCCGCCGCCGCGCCAGGCCCCCTCGGCTTCCTTCTCTTTGCCAGTCCCGCAGCCT